TGCATTAGATTTTGGTTTTGAATCCATGTTTTGTCTTAGAATGTTTGTTTAGTCCTTATATGTTCAAAAATTCCTTGAATAGCATGTTGACCTAATTTTCTTTTAGTGCATTGTTCATTTGTTGCTCTCGGTTTTGTTTCACTTGTGCCTACCTATATGTGCTTTTTCTTTTACCTTTTTGAGTTCATAATTTGCTATTAGTTCTAGCAAATTTCTTTAGAGTTAGGTTTCTTTTATGTACTTAAGTTTTCAAATCACTTTCCATTGAAAAATCTTAAGAAAATTTGTGTTACCTAAAATCTCAAGTGCTTAATCCTACTTCTAGTGCACTAACTTTGTGGATTCAAATTTTTTAATAAAAAAAAAGAATTAAGAGGCTGAAAACAGAGATAAAAACAGAGCCTAAGTTTCAAAAGTTCAAAAGAAAAGAGTACAAAAGGAATCCAAACACAAAACCTAAAGACTAGTGCACTAGTTTCATCATTTTCACTTGAATTTTTGGTTAACTTGTAGTCTCGGTTTCTATAGCTTGGAATCATAAAAAAATTTGAAACAAAAGGCAAATACCTTCTCTGGAATCTTAATTTGAATATAGAAAAATAAAGAATTAAAAAAAATAGATAAAGCAATTTAAATTGAAAAAGCCGAGAGGTGTACATTGACAAAAAAATACTTGATTCCTTGGCTTGTTTTGACTACTACTTGTTCTATACTTATCCAATTGTTCTCAAATTTTTTTTGTTTTGTTCATCTACTCTAGTACCTATCTAGGAACTTTCCTAACTGTGTGCTAGCTTTATTTGGAGTCTTAATTTTCAGTTTTTACTTGTTGAACCTCTTTGAGTCTTGTCACATACACCTATTACTCTTCATTTTTGGTATAAGCTTTTCAAATTGTGCTTTGTTGCTTGTCTAGTTTTCTTTCGTTAATTTCCCTATGCTAGAAGTGCTCGTAAGGTAAAAATAGAAAAAAATGTATAGAAATAATTAAAAATTAATTCTATTAATAATAATTATTCACTTATTTTAGAATCATTTTCAGTTTCTATTTGTAAAATATGATTTTATAATTATTTAATTATACATTATGTGGAAGTTAGATTTATATTATTTGAACACTTGTGGCGTGGTTTAAAATAAAATGAGGAAGTGCAGATATATTAATCTAAAATGTAGTAGTAAATGAAGTCGAAGAGCGTTAAAGAAGCATGATTGGGAAGAAAAAGAAATGATGATATTTATATAAGTGAGTTAGGTATTAGGTAACAGGGTATAAGTCAAAAGAAAAAAAAGAATTAAAAAAAGAGGAATAAAATAGACAAGTTGTTGTATTGTATAGATTGTATTTTTGTTTTTGTACTATTTAGTATTTACTGGTTGAATTAGTCTGTAGGTGTAGTAGGCAAAGGGCAAATTGGGCATCAAGCAGAGAATGCCATGAAGCAGAAGAGCGTGGCGAAAACAGAGAAAGCGACCAACATGGCCAACAAGTCCATGGCCTTGTCTCGCTTCATTCTCCTCTCTTTCCTCTCTCTTCTCAAGCTGCAGAACTTGTCGAACCTTCTAACGGCTTCTTCGGCGTCGGGTTTCACTCTCTTCCCGGTCTCCATGGCGTCCTGCAAAATGACAAGGCCCTCCCTCCCCATCACGTGCCTTCCCTCGATGTCCTCCATGGTAAGGCTCACCTCGCGCACGTGCACGGCGCCACCCACCTTCCCGCAGCACGTCACCTTGATCACGCACTGGACATCGTCCATGGGAAGGGCGTAGAGAATCTCCAGCTCCCCGGTCAGCCAGTGGCGGCGGGCGCCCACAGCGCGGCGGCTGGAGAGGTTGGCGGCGCGGTGTCGGGTGGGGTGGATCATGATCCAGCTGAGGGAGAGGTGCTGGTGGAGGTGGCTCAGCCATTGGCTTTCGTCGTTTTGCGTGAAGACGAGGGCTGTGGGGACCACCTCGTTGGGGTCCAGGAGGTCCACCCAGAGAGGGGAGCAGAGGAACCACCCCTTCCGCGTTTCGGTTCGGAGGGTGCGGGAAAGGACGCTTTTGCCCTTGTACAAGATGTCCACGGCGGACAAGAGCTCCTCCGGCGGCACCGGCGCCGGCTCGGGGATGGGATTGGGGGTGTGCTGGAGGGCGGGGAAGGCGTCGGAGAAGAGGGAGCGGTGGCCGGCAGGGAAGGCGGCGACGAGGGCGGCGGCGAAGGGGTCGGTGAGGGAGGGCCAGTTGGCGGCGCAGATGTTCCGCCAGAGGTGGTGCTCTGTGCAGAGGCGGCGGAGGTGGGCGGTGGCGGAGGCGGCGGAGGCGAGGGCGGGGCCGTCGAGTCGTGTGAGGATGTGGGATTGGATGATGTCGGAGTGGACGGTGGTGATGTCTGACATCATGAAGATGAAGATGAAGAGAAAAGAAAGAAAGAAAGTGTGTTTTGATAGATAAGAATAAGAATAAGAATAAAAATATGTGAGGTAAGCGATGAGTGAGGAAAAGAGAGGGTGTAAGATTTTATATACGAAGATAAGTGCGTGTGTTTGTGATTGGGATTTGGTTAATGGTCATGATAACGATAATATAGACTCGTCTTTTGGTGACGCTTTTGGGAACCCAGACAACTTGTTTGTGGGAACAGTCAAGACTGGCTGTTATGTTAGTAAGGTCAGCCTACATAATATTCAAACCTTTTTAACCAAACGTTTCGTTTCGTTTGTGTGTTTGTGCGTGTGTGTCTGTTTTTTTTTTTTACTCTACCCTTGTGTGAGTGCTGAATCGGTTCTTGTATTTAAACACAAAGTGGCAAACCACTCTAGTGGTGTTCTAGAAGGGTTGGAGGAAATTGAAATTTTTATAGGGTTGGAACGGTTTATATAATGAAATTTAATTGGGTTTCTTTAACTAAACTTAAATGTTCTGTTTTGACTATTCAATTTTTATATCTATTGGCCTATTTTTTTTTAATTTTAATTTGGGTACGGGAATATCTTGCTGTAACAAACGAAAATATACCAACTAAAACAATGGCATTTAACAAATATATATATATATATATATATATATATATGCATTTAATATATATATATATGATTGTTTAGTATTAGAGTTTAGTACTTGAATCAGCTCACAAGTCTATTTTGCATAATAAACAATGAAATGCGATATCTTCTACCTATAAAATAATAGAAAAATCTTTTAAAAAAATTCCACCAACCAACACATATAATAAAATAGGAAAGATTTATTGTCTACATTATCAATCAATAATAAATGTCCAAACAATTTATATTCTAATATTCAAAATATCCCTTGCATATTAAGTTTTTTTTTTTTATTTTTGTAAATAAACAAGTAAGAATTTCACTTTTTAAATTGTGTAAATAATCTTCTTCCTTTTTTTTTTTTTTTTACTTTGAAATTAATGTAATAGGTTAAAATCAAAATGTTACATTATATAAGAGAATAAAATGTACAATTTGAACTTTTAAAAAAATTATATAATACAATATGTTGATTAAAATGAGTTAATATGTAAACTAAACTTGCTTAATTAAAAGATAAATGAGATAATCCGTATGATTTTATTTTAAAATGAATTAAACAACGCCAAGTTCTAACTTGATTGTGTTACGTGTTGAACGAGCCATCCCACGTACAAATGCATGAACATTTTTTGGATTCATATAATGCGTGTTTCTTATTGATTCATACATAAGTACTAATGCACACACACGTAACTCTAATTAAGAGAATATTTTCTGCCAAATTTCGTGACGGTTAATAGCAAATATTCATTGAGTTAATAGTGTATTCGATTAAAAAAAGTTGAGTAATGTTTTTAAACACTCTAAATTTATAAATACTTAAGGGACATTTTCTTTCTGTCTCTTTTGTTATACTATATTACCAATTATATTAATCACTTATCTCTTTTTATCTCTCTTAAAGGTGCTACCCCTCATGAATAAAAAAAAAAAAAAACTTACTATGTTAATTCTCTACCAACTATGCTAAAAGTTAGAGTATTATACAAACTCCGTAAGTTTTATTTTATATACACCTTTAAATCATAGGATCAATTCCTTGAGTTAAAACTTATATAGATTTAAATGATTAATTTATATTTACCCTATTTATTTAATAGTTGAAGAACATATTTATAATGGATTATTTAAAAAAATCAACAAAATACAAACTTAAATTTGAGAAGATATATACAATAATTATACTATTAAGTTTAACTGTTCGATCACAAAAGATCTATAAAAGATGAGATCTTCATAACTAGACCATTCAAAAGTGAATCTTTCTAATCAAACTTTAGGAGAATTTAAACTAAAAATTAGTGGATTTTTATACGACTAGACCATTCAAAAGTGAATCTTTCTAATCAAATTTTAGGAGAATTGAAACTAAAAATTAGTGGATTTTTATTTATATTATTGAGATATTTTGTTATCATCCCTCTTATCTTGTTAACTATCAAGTCATGGGTGGTTACTCATATATATTAGTGAGATATTTTGTTATCATCTATTTTATCTTGTTAATTGTCAAGTCTTTTAAGAATTAAGTTAATTTGCTTGATCCAGGTCTAAGAGGTGTTATAAAATAGTCATAACATTCATTGATAAGTTAATTTAAGATTATATGGCTTGACCTAAAATTGAGAGGATATACAATCCTTCAACCTCAAGCCAAAGTGGTGAATGAGACTTAAAAAACCAACTAAGGAGAACAAAAAGGTCAATTTCTTCAACAATTGTGTCATGATCTCTAGAAAAGTTTTACCAGTCCCACGATAAGCATTAAATCTTATTAATTGTCAAATCTTTCAAAAATTAATGTGTTTGATCACAAGATGAGATCTAAGAAACGTTTCAAAATATTCCTAATATTTATTAATAAATTAATTTAAGATTTTATGGCTCAGTCTAAAATTAGGAGGGTATAAAAACCAATCAACCTTCCCCCTCAAGTCTTTTCACTTAAAAAAATTTGAGATTAGGGAATTGTGTGTTATATAGTCTAATTAACTAATTGAGCCAACTGACCTATTCAGTGTTGTAATTTTCTTCGATTTTGATGTCTCAATGATTGTAATCTATGATATTTCACTTATTGACACTTTATTCAACTCTCATTGGTCAAAGTCTTTAATGGGTAATCTAGTTTGAAATATCCAACCACTTTTAGGATCAATGTCTTATCGAGTGAACTCCACAACACTTCACTCTATGACATTAAATTTAACTCCTCATTGGTTAGAATTTTTCATTAGTTAAAGCACTATGAGTAGTCCTTTTTGAGATGCATGATAGATTTCAGGATTAAAAATTATTCCTATAAATCAACACAAAACTTTTTAGTATCTTTTTTCTTACACACTTTTTCAGAAAGTCACTCATCCTCAAATTACTGTATGTTAATCACATTTAGCTAGAGTTTTCAAGTAATGAGTTATTGAAAAGTAAATACATTTTATTGGTATAAATAGTATTAATTAATTCACTTTACACTAGTAGAAAAAAAACTTTTAAAATCGGTTAAATAACCAATTTTAAAAGTAAACTTTTAAGATCGATTATTTTATAACCGATCTTAAAAGTGCTAGTTAAGAAAAAAAATTAAACTGGAACGGGCCGTTCCAAAACTGGAACGGGCCGTTTCAGATTGTGAAAGGACTAATTGAAGAACGTAAATCAGAACGGCCCGTTCTCCTTTCAGTATGGGTTGTACTGCAAGGAGAACGGGACGTTCTCCTTGAAGAACGGGGCGTTCTCCATGCAGTACGACCCGTACTGAAAGGAGAACGGGCCGTTCTCCATGCAGAACGGGTCGTTCTCCTTGCAGAACGGGCTGTTCCATATTCAAAATTTACCCAAAATGAACCTACAACGAAAATAGAGACAAGAGAAGAGCATGAGAAAACGAAAAGAGATACAAGAAAAGTGTTCCGGTCACGGGGTGCGCTAGGGTTTTTCCTAGGTCAAGCCGCAAAGCCAGAGCATTCAAAGGTGTAATCTGCCTTCCAAACTCTAGGGTTTCAGGCTTTATGGTGCGTTGTTCGTGGGCCTCTTAGATCCCAAGGATCACGGGATTTCCCTAACCGTTCTTATCACGATGATGCGAGATCAACGGGAACGAGTTTAGTCGGGGTCCGACCGACAGGGTCTATACCGAAAATACGACGAGATAAGTACCGAGTGGTTCCCTGGTGGACAGGAGAAATCGAGCTCGCTAAGCCTAGTCGGTCTAGGGCCGAATAGGCTTTTACTGAACCCTACTTCGGGTTAATACAGAGTAGGAGGTCATCTCACCTTATTTCCGAGATCCCATAAGGTGAGAGGTCTTAGGGCTTGGTTGCCAAGTCGGTTAATTTCCGAGTATGGGCTGTTGACGTCCTATCACCGTTAAGGAGATCAGATCGGCCCATGACCGAGACGGTACACTTGCCTTCCAGCCTTGAGCCTGTAAGGCGTGGAGGCTAAGCCGAGTGTTCGTCTTAACGGCATCGGACCTAGGCCGAGAATATATATCGGTCCGCGACCGAGACGGTACACTTGCCTTCCAGCCTTGAGGCTGTAAGGCGATAAGGCTAAATTGAATATACGTCTTAACATCCTCGGTCATGGTCCGAGAATATCGGATCGGCCCATGACCGAGACGGTACACTTGCCTTCCAGCCCTGAGCCTATAAGGCGAAAGGGCTTAAGGCCGGGCAACCTGGTCGTGTATTGGACGAATGGAAAACCAGGTCGGATGGCGACCTGGGCGGTATGCCGCGATGTTCCAACTCGTCGCGTGAGATCGCCATTTCCCAAAACCTGAAAAAGGGGGTGTCTATTCAGCTTACTCAAGAAAGGACCTGTATTTATTACGAAATTGGCGTTGCAGGGGTGCGAATAATGACTGTGCCACGTGGCCAAACGTGTTGCTAAAGTTAATGGTATGCACCCCCCTCTCCTTCTTTTTGTCCCCTGGGTTAAGGGCTGTAACGTTCCATATGCGCTGCGATCCTTGGGTTTCCCCACTCCACGCGTGACCTTTGGGCTTTTATAATACACGCGCTGCGACCATTGGGTTTCCCAACTCCACACGCGACCTTTGGATTTTTATAAATAGGGTAACCTTCCTTTTTTGTAATTCCTTTGCCTTTCGTTCTACTTGCGGCTTTTCTTTCTACATGCGCTCTCTTCTCCGGTGAGGACCTCTGCTCCATTGGAGAACTACGGTGGTGCGCGGTGGTGCACGGCGTGTTGGTGACGTTTGTTGAGTGTGAAAGGGTCGTTTTTGTGTCTTTAGGTACGCCTATCTAATCCCCCTTTGGCCTTTCTTGATTATAGAGAACCTTTTAGTTCCCCCTTGTAGTTCAAATTTGTTTATACCATGGAGGCTGTAAGTTATGTAGACGCGTATAAGTGGGTCAAGGATGATGTGCTTCGTTGCTCCTCCCTAATGAATTCTTGGGCTGAAATGGACAGTTTTTGTAGGGAGCATGTGGTATGTATTGAGGGTGATAACTTGCTTGTTTGTGAGCCTTGTGTGGATGGGGAGCCTGTGTGTATTAAGGGTGACGGCATTGAGCCTTTTACGTTTTGCTATGCGACTCTAATTTCTAAGCTTAAGGTTAGGTGGCCACTTTCCGATTTCCAAAAAGGGGTCCTGAGCGCCTTGAATGTGGCACCTACTCAGTTACACCCTAATAGTTGGGCGTTCATTCGAGCTTTTGAGGTTTTGTGTGGGGGTC